GCAGCGTATCATTTAGAGTTAACAATCTTTTCTCAATCAAATGAAAATTTTAGGCCTTTACGTTGATGGAAGTCAAAGACATTTAACCCAGAATTCATTTTGATGATAAATATTTTTAGCAAAAGTACAAGCGTGAAGTTGATTATATTAAAGTAGATAATGAGTTAATTCTAGCAATTAACTAATTACGCCGTACTAGGACGTCTCTTTCTTTTGCACGCAATATGTCTTTGAGTCAAATCACTTGATTACTTGGCTGTACTATTAGTTGCTTTCTAAAATGCTTACCCTATGAAAAGAACGGCAGTTAATTTCCGTAAAGCATTGCTGTAAAGCGATTATCTTTAACTGATAGTCCACTTTTAATAATCAACATCTCGTGCGGTCATTTAATAAATTCACTTTACTCGCTTCTTTTCTAAAAGGGGCATTAAAACGGAAAACTGGATTAATGAAGAAATATCTAATAAGAGATTGAAATTTACAGCCCCGGAAAACATCGTTCATTTATCGGACATCCCAAGGTATTGTTAAGAAACGGATAATGAGATTCGAGCCATATGTCGATAATTAGCAAAACTATTGCGACAAAAAATATGACATGATGGGGTGCGAAACATTTGAAGATACAATTGTACATTTGTTTAGCCGTGACAGAAAATCCGATATCTTTCGGAAACGTAGTACATTTTACAGCCGTGAAGTAATCACGTCGTGTATTGGATTTGACTTTGCATCACCAATTGGGGGCGTGGATAAAGAAAGACATGACATTGGATATTTGACTACGGTATTAAAATATAAAAGGTCTAATCATATTTATCCTAGCTTGGTTGTGAAACAAGTTTTCTTGCAACCTTTTCCCCACTTGTTTGACTAGAATCGTGTTACAAAACATAGTGGTTACCAGACCTTAGGTGGAACTCGCGGTCCTTGAGCTAGGATATAGATATAGTTACCAGTTGGCTACCTCTGCCCTAAAATTACCTGTTTCACTTTTTTCCATTACTCGAATACCTTAATATTTGTTATTAACTTTGCAGGATATTCAAATAATGTATAGTTAATATTATTACTGCTGATGTACATTGCTTTGATGTGTATGCTCGAAGCATATATATGATTCCTTATCAAATAATCGTGTAAAAACGATATATATTTTGATGTGAGATGTTTTAAATGGATACTCAGGAAAATGAACGACAAAATATCAAATTTATCAAAATTACTCAAAGCATGCAAAATGGAAGTTTTAAGTCACAGCATGTTTTTCTTTTGTATAAATACATTATAATGTGAGTTTGAAACGAAAATTAAACTACATATGTTGAACGAAATGAAGACGCATACAAAATCAATAAGTAGTTTTAAAACAAGTCATTTGACAATAACAATCACTGTAAGTTAAATACAGACAAAGTGGATATTGAAAGATTGAAACAAGTCTAAGTCGCTCATTTGACAAGTTCTTTTACGTTCCCATAGTTCACGTGATAACTATCGTGAAATCTAAATGCTCTAACCTGACCTACGCGGTCAGATTAGGAAAGCACCATTTGTTTTCTTTACATGAAGACAATTTTTGTTGCCTAGTGCGAAAGTTGAAATCGTGAATTCCCGAAGTTGAAATCGTGAATTCATGAAGTTGAAATCGTGAATTCATGAAGTTGAAATCGTGAATTCACGAAGATGAAATCGTGAATTCACGAAGATGAAATCATGAAGTTGAAATCGTGAATTCATGAAGTTGAAATCGTGAATTCGTGAAGTTGAAGTCGTGAATGAATTTACGAAGCTGAAATCGTGAATTCGTGAATTCCTTTTGTTGAAAACGGGAATTCACGAAGTTTGAAATGTGAATTCACGAAAATGAAATCGGGATTTCATGTAGTTGAAATGGCCTTACCGGTCATTCGTACCGTAGACTGCTTAGTGTATTCATTTAATGGACATTAATAGAATATTTGATGAAAAATTAAACTAACATTTCATTAGATAACTACATGTACATAACTTTTTTTATCTTATGTTAACCAGTGAGATATTGGATGTATGTGTTGTTTTTAGGTTTATACTCGACCCAGGAATTATTTAATAATGAATTAATATGTCAGAGATACCTTATGTTAATTATAGTGATTACGCCGTTTTCCATACTGATCAACATTAAGGCCTGTTGCAACTTTTTGGAAAAAGAGGATATGTTTTGGTATGCATGTATGATCGAGTTATATACTAAGTTGCCATAGTCTACACTTGTTAACAGGGAAAATTTGTACTCAGCATCACTAATTTCGCTTCATAACTTATTTTACGGTAATGGCTTATTTACATGTGACAAGTGTTAAAATTGGTGAAACATTTATTCAACATAATATGTGAACATGTAAACAATATTTACAAAATACATTTTTGGATTGGACAGAAAGCTATAAAGCTTATGAGTGTCTACTCCCAGTTGTAACAATTTACATACGCACATATCATGACATTATCATACAGAATGGTTAGTTGAAATATTCAAAGATATTCACTTGATAGTCGAGTATTTTACAATGTAACATTTGTAAGAGCAAACAGTAAAAAAGATAAAAAAAAGAAAAAGTTGATTGAAAAATAAAGCAAACTGTAAAACAGACAAAGTGATAGTTTAGTATCTTTTACGTTTTAGAATTTAACAAAAGGAAACAAAATAATACTCGATTGCTATAAGATATACATAAGCAGATACACACTGTATATATAAACATAAGAGTAAGGAAGAAAGAAATGGACAATGATATGTTTGAACTGATTTAAAGATTGATACATTAAAACATGAGATAAAGTAGTGGTAACAAAAAGAATGACATTGATGGAAGGATTACAAAATTGGGAAATAGTCCTTATTAGTTCAGGTTGTCGGTTAGTATATTTAGGGCATTCAAGAAAGTAGTGATACATTTTCTCACACAAAGCTGTTAAAATACACAGTACCTTTAATGCTTTTAGTAAAAACGGTCTGCGTCTTACACGTCTTAAGCTGCGTTCTCACTTACTCCCGGCAGAGCCCAGTACCACCGGTAAGTTACTGGGATGACCCGAAACGATCCGGGGTGAAATTATTGTTGTAGTCACGCTTACCCCAGCAGCACTACGGAAATTGCAAACTTACCACCCAGGATGCGCTCCGGACAATCAAGGGCAGAGCCCAGGTGAAGATACGGTTCATGCCGGTGCTTCTCCGGTCGTTCCCGGATGACGCCGTTAGAGCCGCGGTTGACCCAGGCAGATTCCTGGTCATCCGAGCAAAGCTCCGGCAAACTCAGCATGATCCCGGAAGAGCCCCAGTGGATTGAAAACGCCCGAAAATGATTACGTTGATACATTATTTTCATTCTCATAAAATATATTTTGTTAATCCTTATGCAAGACTGAACAGAAGGGAAATGGGGAAGGGTTTTAAAGTAGCATGGCTCCAGATTCATACTAGTTTGTATAAACAATTAGTAAAAAAAAAAAAACAGTTTAATATTTTAAGTTTCCAAAAAATGCAGTTAGCACATTATCAATGGCACTTACAACCTATTTTAGCTAGTATAAAGAGGTCGAAATATGCAAAAGTAGCCTTTGCTGCGTTAGTAACGCAGTAGAACTACATGTATAGTTATAAATACTGAAAAGTTCGGTCGTTAATCGCTTATAACATGTAAATTATTACTAGAATTTTGAATCTTTATACATTTCCTAAAACCTTAGTATGTTTTTCTCAGGTTTGATTATATCGAAATATTTTAGCTCATTTGGAGGCGTGCAGCTTTAATACAAACAAGTGTAATCATCGCAAAGTGTCGTGATTCCGGGCATTGACGGGGCTCTACCGGGATAACTGTACCTCTATCGTCATCCTCCGGGGCTCTGTCGGCATTCAACGGGGCTCTGTCGGCATTCATCGGGGATCTACCGTAGCTCTACCGGCTATATTATAGATTCATACTTTGGATCATCCATGGTTTGTGCCGGCAGAGCTACGTACGGTGTTTTCACGGTGTACTACCGGTCGATCGAGGCAGAGCTAAGGATGAGCCGGCAAAGCTATACTTCCCGGATCATCCCGCTGATATTATATATTTCATTACATCCGTGGTCAAATACCGGATGTTCTCGGATCATACGGAACGATGCCAGCAGAGTTACGGATGTACTCCGGTTGTTCCCGGACCACCCCGGATGTCTTCCGGGGCTCTGCCGGGATGTAAGTGAGACTGCAGCTTTAAATACATTTTGTATAACAATTATTCCACTCATTTAATGGATATGCATAATGCACTTAGACAACTTATATCTCAAACAAAATTTTATTTAATATCGTAATAGACACGAATATTTAGCTTTTGGGTAACTGTTTAATCTACGGAATGCTGTTAAGGCCATTGCCTATGAATGTGTTGATCTGAAACGCGATAGTCGATAGTACGATGGTGAAAACGCGGAATCACGAAACAACGATGGTGAAAATGCGAAAGCACGATGATTAAAACGCGACAGTACGATGGTGAAAACGCGACAGTACGATACTAAGATGATGAAAGCGCGATAAACTATCGTGTTTTCACCATCGTACTGTCGCGTTTTCACCATCGTAGTTTCGTGATTTCGCGTTTTCATCATCGTACTGTCGTGTTTTTATCATCGTACTATCGCGTTTTCACCATCGTACTATCGCGTATTCACCGTCGTTCTATCGCGTTTTCATCATCGTACTGTCGCGTTTTTATCATCGTACTATCGCGTTTTCACCATCGTACTGTCGTGATTTTATCATCGTACAATCGCGTTGTCATCATCGTACTATCGCGTTTTCACCATCGTAGTTTCATGATTTCGTGTTTTCACCATCGAACTATCGACCATCGCGTTTCAGATAAACATATTCATAGGCGATGGCCCTAACGGCATTCCGTATTAATCAAGTTGTTATCGTGGCAAATCTTCAATATCAGAACACAAAATTACAAAGGGACAATTTGGTCACTTTAATAATGATAAAGTTTTCTGTATATTATATTAAAACCTTGTTTGATATTTGCTAAAAAGTATTAAAGGTCTGAGTTTAGATAAACTTTTCATTATCTAGATCACAATTTGTGTCCTTCTCAGCATCATTGAAGATCTCCTTAATTTCACACGAGGTCCACCTTCAAGCCCTCTATGCAGATGATCACATAGCCCAGGTTCTGCCCCAGCAACTTTACAAATTGAACCTGGTGGGACATATAATCCATTCAAATTAACCATTGTACATGCCTTATGCCACCAGCCTGCGTGTCGATCAACAGCACAATTATGTGAGTCTTTATTATCTAGGTCACGATCAAATGTTGTAAACGGAGAATTATTATTGTAACTTAACCCGTCTCCGACGTTAACTGAAAAAAAGGTAAATACGATTTTCACTGTATGAGGCCAAATTTAGTCTGTTGTCATGTAGTGACATTTTCTGATAGTCATATAGCTGGATATAGAAAATTCCATAATTTTATCAAAACATTAAAACTGATGGCTCCATTTTCAATGCTGATCTTATTTGTTAACATATGTATCTACTCGTTGTTTGTTTAAATATTCTGAATGCTTAATGGTAAATGTATATGTAATATTACAAAATAGGTGAGGAAAACATTGATTTATTTCAGAACTTTGAGTTGCTAAAGCAAAGTTTAATTTTATGTATGTATCAATTAAAATCTTTATAAGTCAAAGATATATTTGTTTGGTACATTTTATCTTTCATACTTTAAATATCAACACTCATATAATTTCGTTCTGTACCTGATGCTGTACGTAACCCAATGTTGAGTCTATACTTTATTCCATCTGTCAACCTGAAATCCGGAAAGGTCTCATAGCCTGTGACGTTGTTGTGATTTGTCATGTCTATGCGAAGTTCAGAATGACTTTGGTTAGCTAGTTCTTGTATGTACTTCAGGCCTATGGTAAGTAAAACAGTGGAACATAAATTACTATAAATACAACCTCTACTATCGCGAAAATATCGGCAGTTCCAAGGTGTCAAGATGAAATTTAAAACTAAAACGAACGAAAAAAAAACTTCAAAAGAAACAAAACAATCATATTTTGATCCACACAAAAACCCTTACATATTTGCAAACTGATTCATATGATACATGGCGATGTTTTTATATGAATAAATTGACCTGTTTATCAATGATACCAGTTTTCTTTTAATGCAAGGATAAAATGAAACAAGAAACATACTTACAATCTGTATTGAAATATGAGACGTATTACTTTGCATTGTCATGAAATCTGGAAGTTTTGTTTTCTATTTTATCTTTTTTAATATCAATATCGCTTCGTAACTTAATTACATGTCAAAATTACCAAATCGTCACAACTGATTTAAAATAAAACTGAAACATTAGCCAACAATGATATCTTGACACGCAAGATGATTTCCAGATTTCTTTGAAAACGTGAAGCCTCTATACGTATTTTAGTAGATTTTTGGTAGATGAATTACTTAACAATACAAAATGCTAGCCAATAAAATACGAAAACGATCAAACAAGAATTGTATTACACTTATTCATATCATAAATGTACAAGCTATTAAAAAAAGCACTGTTTGTTTATAATAACATACTTCGTTTACTTTAAATAATTCCACTTATCTAAACTGTTTATACTAAAGTGAACAATAAATCAAACCTAGCCACAGTTCTTCTCCTGCATTTCCAAACCCATTTTCATACTCTGTGAAGTTTCGATAAAACTCAATGGACCCGTCCATGCGCCTATGAAATATCTACAAAGAGTTCAACGAAATTGACACAACGAAGTTTAAATTGATAAATGATTCAAGTAGATTCAAACTAACATAGTATAAAGTCGCATTACAACTCCAAGTTTTATCTTATTCTCTATATATGAGACGGAAACGGGATCTTTCATAGACCTATTGAACTTCTTAGTAATCAGGTTTGATGTTCAGATCATCACTTGACTTGTCTTGCATCGAAAGAGTAGACAAGTTTCTTCTAGCACCAGTAGATAATCTTGTCTGTTATGCAAGAACGGCATGTGATGTACTTAGTCCTAACTATCATGTATATCTTTCAAAACTGTAAGATAGGACTAAATTAAAATTCCCGATATTTGCTTTGACAAAGTTTTTTACTTAATTTACAATGAAGTTTTTAAACGATTTAATTAAAAATACCGTTACGGGGCAAAGGAGCGCGCCAACCGTCAAAAGTTTTATCCATGTCCCCCAGACTTTAACAATTTTTAAAATTTTTTTTCTTTGTGTAGAACTACCATCACATAGGGTTTTTAATCCTGTTTTATAAAAACCACTTTCTGCTTCCGGGTATTCATCAAGAATTTCTTTACAGTCGCTCACTAACCAAAAATGATAAAAAAATAAACAAATCTAATTTCTAATGAATTAATCGGGTTATCAATAATAAATTAAGCAACTATCAATGAATTAGTGACAAATCCTGTGCGTTCATTCGACTGCGAAGCAGCCGAGTATTATTAAGTTATTAATTATTTAGTTATTGAGGATTTTGAAAAATGTCGTGTGCTTTACTGCAGAATGAAACGATTTATTTTGCGAGTATTAAACATTATTGCAATAAACACATTCACATGCATACGCTAAACATTTTTTTTTTCTTTTTTTTCAATTTATTGCAAAACATTGGTTATGTCCATTCGACGAATAATACGTGCTTGATCTGATAACATCTATAACAATATTAGTTATTAAAGAAATAACTTTACCATAATTTACCAATCAATTTAGGGGCCCAGAATATTTAAGATGATTTAGTATTTGATTTGAACGGAAGTAAAAATACTACTATCACATCTTACTTCTTTTATTATAAATCATTTCACATTCATCACAATTTTCATCAGGTAAAATTTGACTTATTCCTTCCATTTAACCAACCCCTTCGCAGCCATTTTACGCTTGCGTAAAACCTCACTTGTATTCCCTTTTACAGATTTATAGATTATGTTTTCTGACGATTTTCTTTTTGATGTTGTAATGTTTTTCAACCTGTGTTTGTTAATCTCTGAGTGTGTCCAACGAAATCATAACTAAACCTTCTTGTTATTGCAGCTGAGTGTTTTGTTTCGGATTTATTTAAAATTCTGTTTGGTTACAGAATTTAATTTAATTCGATTGTGTAGGAAGCTATTATCTTATAAAAACACTTTCGAATCCGTTCCTGGAACCAACAAGTACTGAGCAATGAGTGTAAAATTTCTTGCTCAAGACCCTGTCAGGGTTTGAACCTATGCGGCTTGCGATCATAAGATTACTAACCCAAAGCGTTAACCACTCGGCCATGCCGCCACTCAATTATTCTAAATTCTGTTTGTATATCTTATCTTTATGTATGCCATTTTGCTTAACCACTCCCCAGAAATAATCATAACAATATGAAAAAATGTAATGTTAAACGGGTTGAAGAGTATAGAAAATGCCAGGAGAGCATTAAAAAAAGCAAATAATTAGAATAGCACAAAATCAGTAATAATTTGTCTTTTTGGTAGATATAGTGAAATTTATTGTACATTAATAAATGAAATATCAAGAAATATTCAATGAAAAAATGGGTATTTTCTTATTGTTAAAATTCTTTCTGTATAGAAAACAACAACAACAACAACAAACAAAAACAAAAACACACACGAAAAAACAGCACATTCTCGATAGAGCAAATCGTTAAAAACACCATTTGATTCCGTTGCGGATTCGATTTTCTACCAGTTTGGAGGTCTTCTTTGCACAATCTGGGGACCGAAGCCCTGGCCCAATCAATATGTCTGGAGAATACCGAATGGAATTATCAGTTTTGACTGGCGATTGGTTCTGACTGTCCGAGGTGTGATTAAAAAGTTTTCGGCCCGATATACTTCAAGTCACTTCACTGACATTTACACACGATTAGTCGATACCGATATCTTATTGAAGATTACCGACCGAGTAACACCACGCGGTTTTACACAGATTAAGTAACATAAAAATACTTTGGTCAGTAGAGGGGTGTGTTAAGTACCTCTGTAAGAAAGAGATGTCCCCCAAGGAAATCCATGAAGACTTCATGGATACACTTGGGAAGGAGTCCCCTTCCTAAAGCACTTAGAAAAAAAATGGGCTGCTGAATTTGAGAGGGCAATGAGAATATTGGAGATGATGATCGGCCTAAGCGGCCAAAAGAGGCCGTCAACGATGAAACTACCGAAGCTGTGGACGATCTGGTCATGCGCGACAGAAGGCGAGACCTGCGAAGCATTTCTAGGGAAGTGGGTATACGCTTTGGTTCAGTTCAGGCATGTCAAAGGTTCCTGCTAGATGGGTCCCCAGAAAGTTGACTGACGACCAGAAACGGACCAGGCTTGACATTTCAAGATATATTTTGTCTCGCTACGAGGATAGACTGATTTTATCTACCGGATCGAAACTCAGGATGAAACATTTGCCCATCACTTCAATCTAGAATTAAAAGAACTGAGCATGCAGTTGAAGCACTCTGGCTCACCCCTCCAAAGATATTGAAGAGGGTGCCATCAGCAGGGAAAATGATGGCTTCAATTTTTTTGGATATTCAGAAAATAATCATGATTGACTTGAGCATAAAAGGTACATGCTATGCTGACGAATTGAGTCTGCGTCAAGAAATCGCGCGTAAAAGGAGGAACAAACGGACTCTCCTGCACGACAATGCGCCAGCTCACACATCCCAAGTTGCGATGGTTGCTGCAACAGACTGCGGCTTAGAAATTCTTCCGAATCCCCAATTTTCTCAGGAATTGGACCCATCTGACTTTTACCTGTTTCCGAAACTGAAAACCAAGCTCAATTGTAGACGTTTTGGAAGCAATGAAGGTGTCATGGAGGCTGTCAATGAGTTCTTTGAGGACCAAAATATACAGTTCTATTTTGAAGGGATAAACAAGCTGGCGCAAGTGGGCAAAGCGCATTGATGTAGAGGGTAATTATATTGAAAAGTAAGACTATTAGTTGGGTTATCTGACTACCGGAAGTACATCGGGCCAAGAACTTTTTTTATCAATCCTCGTATGTAAAATGCAGTTATACAGTTGAAAACATTTGACTTATTCCGTTGCAGATTCGTTTTTGTACTAGTTTGGATGGTCATCTTTAACGATATAAGACCCAAAGCCCTAACCTTAGCAATATGTCCGAGAGACTTCCGTATGTCTTGTTTTTGTACCGGTGATTTGCTTTTTTCTGTATAACCGTAGATCGGCTAAAATTACGAAAGACACATCTCGGATAGAGCAAAAAGAAAACGCTTCTGATAGTGAAATTTACATTATTTTTATCGATCACGATTCAGGAAATAATATTCAGGAATGAAAGGATGTTTAGTTTGCCATTGTAAAATGAACGCGACGTACGAGTACTGAATAAGTAATTATTTAGTAGAATATTTAAGAGAATATTGTTCACAGCAATAAATGGTTCAAAGCTTTAATGCAAGAAAACTGTTAGCAAGAGGAACGCGTAAAATGGTCGCTTCTGGACCGGTGATTAGTTCTTTAATTATATAAAGTCTAAGAACATTCGAAAAAAAAAATCCCAAATTTCCTTTAGCAAATGGACAATTTGCCTGATTCCGTTGCAGATTCGATTTCGATGTGTTTTTAGAGTCTATCTTAAATAATATAAGTCCTAAAGCTTTTACCCATGCAAAATACCCGGGCTTGCTCGTTTATGAACCGGCTATTTTTTTTTTTTAAAAAAAGAGTAAATATATAAAGATAAAAAGAAAAGAAAAAACAACAACAACAAGAACCAAGAGTTAACGCATCATTTATCTCATTGCGTTGCGTATTTGTTCTTGTATTAGTGTACTAATTTGGAATGTCTTCTCTGCACAACATGAGGTCCAAGGTTTTAACCAAAGCAATACATCCGGGAGATTTCAGCGTGGCACGGTTGTTTTTGTTTTTTTTTTTTGGTTCGGCGATTTGTTCTTTTTGTGTAAAAAGGGTATACATTTTTGTTAATAACACCATAGTATCGAGCTATCAGTTACACCACAATTTTCTGATTTCGTTGCGGATTCTATCTTGTATTAGATTGGATTGGATTGGGTGGTTTTCTTCGCATACTACGATTAAACCCCCATTTGTTTAATTCCGTTGCAGATTCGATTTTGTACTTGTTTGTTTGGAAGATCTTCCTTACACAATATGAGAACCATCGCCCCAACCAAACATTATACCCGGAAGATTTCTGCACCCATGGTCGTTTTTCGCCACGGCTGTTTGTTCTTTCTATATAAAATGTGTATATATTTTTGTCAAAAAAAACAACTAGATATTATTGAGCGAACTGTTAACACACCATTTGTCTGATTACGTTGCGAATTCGTTTTTGTATTTATTTTGAAGGTTTTCTTTGCATCCTTATGAGGACCAATCCCCTGTCCCAAACAATATGTCCGTGGGAGTCTTTTTTCATACAAGGTATTTGTTTTTTTAAATTAATTCTATATTTGCTCTAAAACACTATATAATTGAGCCAGACGTAAACCCCCCGTTGCAGATTCGATTTTGTACAAGTTTGAAGGGTCTTCAGTGCACCATAGGAAGAACGAAGCCCTATCCAAAACAATATCGGGAAATTTTCGCGTGGCATTGTCATTTTTCGTACACGCTATTTTTCTGTATATTACGGTGTCCTTATCGTGCCATTTAGAATGTCGTCCGTCGCGTCTAAGGGTAGACACACGACAATGCGAAGTGACATCGCGACAATGCGAAGCGACGCTCGACAACGCGAAGCGATA